CATTACATTCTTGATTAAATTATCTTTCCATTGATATATAATTTTATGGTACTACTCCCCAAAAAGTGGTGTTATTAGCCATCAAACCTCAAATGTACACTTTTCCCAAAAGGTTTCCACAATTTTGGCCACTACTGTATATATGTTGGAACTGAATATAGGATAATTCTAAGCAATTTGCTTCCTTGGAAATTTAGCCAACTTCATTAGTATTCAGTATTTATTATGACATGTGATTAAAAATCTAAAATATTCTGGCTACTGAAAATTACTGTGCAAATTTGTCAATATTCAAACATTACTAATAATCAGTTTTACAGTATTGTACTATTTATTTCCTGATAAAGAAGTAAGCATATATGTCTGTCATATAGATGACTGGGATCTTATTTCTTGATGAGAAGCTAAAGGCAATTCAGTGATAATGCCTAGGGTAGTTCAGTGATAGAGCCGTGGTATCTTCATAGAAATACTGTTTAAATTTAATACATAATTAACCCATACGAACTTTAGTAGAGGTAGTCAACCTACGATGGTAATGAAGCCTGCTCATACGATTGCAAGTGGTGATAGCCTTTAAGCCAGGGGTCCCCAACCCCGCGGCCATGGCTAGTTAGGTCTTTCACCTCCAGCCATGCGGTGAGTCTACAGGAGTCGGGGCTGGGGCGGGAGATTGGCAGAACAGAAGCTGTCTTGCCCAGTGCAAAAGTCCTCCGGCAGCTGAGCTTCCTCCTCCCTCCCTCCCGGCAGCCCAGCTGGGCTGAGCTCCCTTCACTCAGCTCTCCAAGTTTGCAAGACAAGCGCGCGCCAGCCCAGCTTGCAACCGGGTTCTCCTCCAAAGCTTTGTTAGAGCAGGGCTTTTCAGCCAGTGGTACGGGTTCCACCTGTGGTACATTGGCACCTGGCAGGTGGTACGTGACCATCCTAGAAAAGTGGTAGCAGGGAGGGGAATGAGCTGAACCAGTGGCAGCACTGCACAAGCCTGAGCGAGAGATGGCTGGAGCTGCAGGGCTGTCAGGGCTCAGCGGAAGCACCAGGATCAGTGCCGCTTTCCAGCTGATCAGCACTTCTTCGGGGCTGTCAGGGCTCAGTGGAAACACCAGGATCAGCGCCAGGCTCCAGCTGGAGCTCAGCACTGATCCTGGCACTTCTGCTGAGCCCAGAAGAAGCGCCGATCAGCTGGAATGTCGCAGCATCTCCAGGGTCTTGTGATTTACATTCAGATGCTTGGCAACTGATTCACATTTATGATGGTCACATTGTCCCAGGGTCATGTGAAGTGACCAAAACCTGCTGCAACCACCCAGCAGATGGGTGGAATAAAAACCAAACACCTTCCACCCCACCTCCGCTGCCAATCCCCAACAGAAATGCTTACAACAATGAAAACCTCGAACAGGAGGAAGAGCGCCGCTGGGTGGACAGGCAGGTGTCTTCCTCGGCTATGGCTTGGGGGGCACTTTTTTCAGTGCCATTGTTACTTCGAACAGTCATTAAGCGAACTGTTGTAAGTCGAGGACTGCCTGTACTTTATCACTTTTTTCCTCTTTTTGGGGGGTCATCAAGTTTTTGACACCTTGCTAGGCGACTGGTGGTACTCGGATATTGCCATATCCCAAAAGTGGTACAATGGGTGAAAAGGTTGAAAAGCCCTGCGTTAGAGGGAGACATCCCCCAAAGGTATGTTTCTGTGTGGGGCTAGTGTCTTTTTCTCAGGGTGCAAATAGGGGCAGGGAGAAGCTACCTTTTATCTTAAGCACTGGTCTCCAAGGGAAATGTTTGCATCTTGTCTAAGAGTGCTGGGCTCTAGTGCTGGAGTTTTTTTATTTTGATACTTCAGGATGCCTTGTGTTTTGGAAACATCCTGCCTGCTTTTCGTGGTTTAATTTTGTGGGGGGGGGGAGCACGCGCGCATTGAAAAGGCTTTCACTGCTTGGAAACCAAACCTTTGCAAGTTGAGGCAGCTACATGCTTTGGGTTTCTTTGCAAAGAGGCTTTGTGCTATGCTGAGCTGGTTTGGTCTCGGGTTTTTTTTTTTAAGGTTTTCTCAGCACTTCCTCCTGCTACCTCTTCTTCCTCCTCCTCTTACTCACTTTCCTCCTCTCCCCATCCTGGCACCCCATGCTCCTTTCTTCATACAGCTCTCCAAGCTTGCAAGCCAAGCAGGCTCCTACCCAGCTTGCAGTGGGGGAGGGGAGGGAGAAGCTACGTTTCCCCATTAGCGCTGTCTCTCCAAGAGAATCCCTCTCTCATTTGCACCTTTTTCAAGACTGCTGGGCTTGTGCAGAGCTGAGCTGGTTTGCTCTCTAATTTTCTCAGCCTCTTCCTTCCCTTCTAGTCTCAAAGAGAAACACTATACTGGACCATTGAAAAGTCATTCACACCTCTTTCTGCTCCCCCCTCGTCTTTGATTGGGGGTTTCTTCTGGAGCAGAAGAAGAGCGATTCTTTCAGTGAAGGTTTCTCTCTGTCTTCTGATTTTCTTCTAGAGCAGAACAATAAAGCCTCTTCCTGTGAAGGCTTTTCCATGCCTTTATTCTAACGTTTCCCTGGAGAAAAAAAATTCTCTTCTAGTGAAGTTTTCCCTGTGTGTTTATTCTGATTTTCCTCTGGAGCAAAATCATCTAGTGGCAGGCCTTAAGTCAGAATCCCACACTTATTTTATTCTGTGCATGGCCTAACCATTATTTCATTTATCACTTCTGTCTGTGACTCTTTTCTGAACTGCACACTTGTCTCAGTCACAGTTTTGATAAGCCCACACATTAAACCTAGCCAAAATGAGTAAAAAACAAACTTCACTGGAGAACTTTGAAAAGGGGGAAAGACCAAATGATGAGACAGCAGAAGACTGTAAGACTGCCAATAAAAAGAAATCTACATTTAAAAGAAAATACCAAGAGTCTTACTTAAATTACGGATTCATTGCAACAGGTGATTCACATGCTCCAAACCCGCTTTGTATAATATGTGGTGACTGGCTATCCAATGAAGCCATGAAACCTTTATTTGTTTATTTATTTAGAAAATTTACAATAAATGTAATGTGCTTGAATCATCTTGAAACCCCCCCCATCCATGGAAAAATTGTTTTCCTTGAAACCGGTCCCTTGTGCCAAAAAGGTTGGGGACCTCTGTTTTAAGCAACACCCCGTTCTCCCTGAAGGTGTTAAAAGAATGTGTGGATCATTAAACAAAGCACAGGGTTCTTCAGGGGTGGGACTCCCTGGGACTCTCAAGACCTTTCCCACCCCTTGACATACCCTTGCTCTGCTTCCTGCTCCTCGGGATCCCCGTAGTAGTAGTAGTAGTAGTAGTAGTAGTAGTAGTAGTAGTAGTAGTAATTATAATTATAATTATAATAATAGTAAAGTTGGAAGGGACCTTGGAGGTCATCAAGTCCAACCCCCTGCTCAGGCAGGTAACCCTATACCGTTTTGGACAAATGGCTGTCCAGTTTCTTCTTAAAAACTTCCAGTGTTGGAGCATTCACCGCTTCTGGAGGCAGGTTGTTCCACTGGTTAATTGTTCTAACTGTCAGGAAGTTTCTCCTTAGTTCTAGGTTGCTTCTCTCTTTGGTTAGTTTCCACTCGTTGCTTCTTGTCCTGCCTTCAGGCGCTTTGGAAAATAGCTTGACTCCCTCTTCTTTGTGGCAGCCCCTAAGATATTGGAACACTGCTATCATGTCCCCCCTCGTCCTTCTCTTCGTTAAACTAGACATACCCAATTCCAGCAACCGTTCCTTATATGTTTTAGTCTCCAGTCCCCTAATCATCTTTGTTGCTCTTTTCTGTACTCTTTCTAGAGCCTCAGCATCTTTTTTACATCGTGGTGACCAAAACTGGATGCAGTATTCCAAGTGTGGCCTTACCAAGGCATTGTAAAGTGGTATTAATACTTCACGTGATCTTGATTCGATCCCTCTGTTAATGCAGCCTAGCACTGTGTTGGCTTTTTTGGCAGCTGCAGCACACTCCTGGCTCATATTTAAATGATTGTCCACTAGGACTCCAAGATCCCTCTCACAGTTACTACTATTGAGCAAGGTACCCCCCTATATTATACCTGTACATTTGGTTTTTCTTGCCTAAATGTAGAACCTTACTTTTTTCACCATTGAATTTCATTTTGTTAGATAGCGCCAAGTGTTCAAGTCTGTCCAGATCCTCCTGTATCTTAAGCCTGTTTTCTGGAGTGCTTGGGCCTCCTCCCTGACCCGTCACCCATTGTGCAGTTACTTTTTGAAGATCACTAGAACTTTCCTCAGTGCTGTGCAGACCACTTTAGGGCAGCAAAATAAAGCAATTCATCTCTGGGTCGCATGACAGCCTCCCAGAAGCAGCTGTCATTTCAATGCAACACAAGGAAATGTGGGTATGGTGAAAATGGTGGCCTCTTCTTGGAGACAGCCACAAAGCTCAGATGCAAGTGGCCTGCCCTCCTTCTCCTTTATAAGGCCTTGGTAAGACCACACTTGGAATACTGCAAGTTTTAGTCACCACAATAAAAAAAGATGTTGGGATTCTGGAAAGAATGCCACCTGGTTTTGATCTACCTCACTCTGTCTGAACAAAATTGAACAGAATTAGGTGTAATACTTTGCCCTGTATCAGTGAGGATGGAAAGATTCTTCTTAACTATTAAACATATTGTGCAAGATTGTCCACAATGTGTATTCTCTGGTTCCCTAGAAGATCTGCACAAAACAACGCCAAAGGCAATCACCTGGATAGCTGAATTAGATATCCACTTATGATGAGGCCACTGCCATATGCCGTACATAATTATATGGATTGCATGTATATGTTTACTTCTCTTCTGTCATGTTCTTATCATATGGTAAATAAATAATAATGATTCAATTTGCTAAAAAAGTGTCATTTGATTAAAATCTAGAGATTTTCTACTCATCCATGCAGTCCAAGATAAAAAAAAGGATAAAATGTGTTTGTGTGTGTATTCACATTAATTGAACATTAAAAAAACTTAAGATTCTTTCACCTCAACATATGAAATAGGAAATATTCCAATTCTGTCAGCCAACATTCCTTCAGCCCAATTTTCATCTACTCGGCGAATCACAGTAAGAATATCATCCTGGATATAAAAGAAGAAAATAAAAAGGTAGGAAAGTTTCCAAGTTCTAATTAAACATTTTATTTTATTTATTTTATTTTCCTGACATTCAGACCATTGAAATTTTTAAAAAGTCAACTTACATATTTTCAGATGAAAATTTCTTTCAATTGTATATTCCTATTGTTAAGAATTTGAAAAGCATTCTAGGAGCTAATCAATCATTTATCAGATGAAATAACTGCTGAGTAACAACAACCCAACTGCTTTTTTTCAGCATTAGAGTACAGCTCTCAATATATCTCAATTCTATAATATGTTATATATTCTTAGTTGTTATGAGTAGCTACAATACTTAGAAACCAATTATTCAACGTATGTATATGTAATATTCTTAGGGATTAATGAATTAAGAAATGTCCATGATAAAGACACAAAGAAAACTATAAACATAGAACATGGATAAGAAATTTTGGCTTTTAAGACATTGCTAGCTTTCATATCTCAGCATCATTTACCATTCTTTTTAATGTATGGGGCTCCTGAGAGTATTTTGTTTAAATTATATTTGGAGGATCACAAAATAAATTAGCGTATTTTTCGCTCTATAAGACGCACTTTCCCCCCCCCAAAAGATGGGGGGAAATGTCTGTGCGTCTTATGGAGCGAATGCCGCCTGGAGCTGAAGCCTGAGTGCAGGGGAGGAGAGCATATACTGGCCGGGAAGCAAGGAGAGCTTGTGCGGCATGGAGGAGGAAAGGCTGCAGCCATTTTTTTTTACCCTTTTCCTTAGCTGTGCTACTCCCTCTGCTTGGCGGCAGCCTGCATGCAGGAATTTTACCAAATGTGCCCTGCAGGAGGCATGTGAAGAGCGCAGGTGCAGAGCAAGGCCCAGCCCTCCCCAGGGACTCATTTCAGATTTACACTGCAAAAGTTTTTCTCGCACAGAGGAGAGAAGAAAAACAATTGCAGAACACTCGGGAATCCCTTGCAAGGCACCAGGTACCTTGGTGCTTATTTCCTAATGCCTTCCTCCCCCCCCCCNAAGCAGCCATTTATGGTCTTAATACAGCCCTCAGTCTGTCTCCCTTTCCACACCCCCTAAAAGTCTTCATTCAGGCAGGCTTCCAGAGGTCGGCTGGCAGGATGCAGGTAACCCCTCCCCCCTGTCCTGCTGCCTCCCACAGCGCCGCTCCGCGTCCCGTGCCTCCATACCTCAAGCCCCCGTGTCACAGAACTGCTGGCGTTATGCTTGGGCGGAAAACTTTTTCTTTTACAAATCGGGCGGGTGGGCAGGCAGGACCCCGCCCGCCGAGTCGCCGCCTCTCCATCGCCCTCCACCAGCCGGCTCCATCGCCAGACCTCCCAGCTGACAAGCGCAGGAGTTCAGCGCTGCGGCAGCCTCCCCTTTGCCCTCCGCACCGGCCAAAGCTTTGTCTGACGTTCCAGCTGACCGGTGCAGGTCCGGGGCTGGAATGCCCGGGGAGGGGGGCAGGCTCTGGCGGAGAGCCTGGTGGAGAGCCAAGCGGCGTCACCTCCAGGGCCTCAGAAGCCGCGCGGAAGATCCGTGCGCCTCGAAGCCGCTGGCCGTCCTCTCGTGCCCGCCAACCTGGAGCCCTCCATCCTCATCCCGGCACCTCTTGCCCTCTCCCAGCCGCCCCTCCGGGACCTGCCGGCCCCTCGAGCCTCCTAAGCGCCATAGCAGCGGTGGGGTCGCGGGAGCCCCTTTCCACGCCGCGCAGCCCTTCACCGCCAAACCCTTCCCCGATTCATCGCACACGAGAGGGGCGCGGCCGGAGCGCCAGCTCCCGCTCGGAAAGCACCGCTTCTCCCCTCCCGGGCCGGCTGGCTGGCCTCCGACGCACATGCGGGCATCGCCGCCTCGCCCTCTTCCCCGCCACCTGGCTGCTTCTGAGACCCGGAGCCCGGCGAGCTGGGAAGGAGCTGCTCCTGCCCGCCAGCCCCAGGGCTGTGCCGGGCGCCAGAGGGCCAAGGCGGCCTCCGATGGCGAGGGAGGATTTTAAGGATCTTTGAGAGGGAGAAAGAAATAGAGGGAGCTGAGCTGAGCCGGTCCTCATGCCTCCTGGTTGCCCGGCCGCCCTCTGCGCCACGCCGGAGCCTCCCCTCACCACCCGGCCCACCTCCCTCGCCGTCGGAGGCCGCCTTGGCCCTCTGGCGCCCGGCGCAGCCCTGGGGCTGGCGGACAGGAGCAGCTCCTTCCCGGCTCGCCGGGCTCCGGGTCTCAGAAGTGGAGGCCAGCGTCGGAGGCCAGCCAGCCGGCCAGGGAGGGGAGAAGCGGTGCCTTCCGAGCGGGAGCTGGCGCTCTGGCCGCGCCCCTCTCGTGTGTGACGAATCGGGGAAGGGTTTGGCGGTGAAAGGCTGCGCGGCGTGGAAAGGGGCTCCCGCGACCCCACCGCTGCGATGGCGCTTAGGAGGCTCGAGGGGCCGGCAGGTCCCGGAGGGGCGGCTGGGAGAGGGCAAGAGGTGCCGGAATGAGGTTGGAGGGCTCCAGGTTGGCGGGCGCGAGAGGACGGCCAGCGGCTCCGAGGCGCGCGGATCCTCCGCGCGGCTTCTGAGGCCCCGGAGGTGATGCCGCTTGGCTCTCCGCCAGGCTCTCCGCCAGAGCCTGCCCCCCTCCCCGGGCAATTGTGCAGAGCTGCTTGTGTGTCCTTGGCAGCGCCTGCAGGCAAGGCTGTGTGCCCAAGCCGAAACGCCGCGCTTTTGCTACCACTTCTCCCGTTGCTCTACCATCCCCAGCAGCCCTAAAAAGCACTATGGAAGAGTGGGGAATGCTGGGAGTTGCAGTTCATCACCATCTGGGAAAACATGACTCTCCAAAGATCATTCCTTCCTTCCTTCCTTCCATCCATCTCCTTTCCTTCCCCTTCAATCTCTCCTTCCTTCCTTCCTTCCTTCCTTCCTTCTTCCTTCCTTCCTTCCTTCCTTCCTTCCTTCCATCCATCTCCTTCCCTTCCCCTTCAATCTCTCCTTCCTTCCTTCCTTCCATCCATCCATCCATCTCCTTCCCTTCCCCTTCAATCTCTCCTTCCTTCCTTCCATCCATCCATCCATCCATCTCCTTCCCTTCCCCTTCAATCTCTCCTTCCTTCCTTCCTTCCACCCATCTCCTTCCCTTCCCCTTCAATCTCTCCTTCCTT